TCACTCTCGGCATCTTGATTTAGCTCTCGGTTTTTGCCACTCTTGGAGGGGATTATACTCGAAATTTTCTGAGTTTCCAAGTGCTAAATGAGGTCTCTAAGAAGCTTAAGTGATATCTTAAAAGCTGGTCTAAGGGCGTTAATACTTAGGAGGGAAAATGGTAGACAAATGTGATGACTACACTTTCCTATGTGCATTGGTCTTTGGGGCATGGTCTTGGCACGATTTTGGATGTAATATTGGGTGGGAATGCATGATTTTTCAGAGAATCTTGAGTGAATAAGGAGGTCTGGTCAAGCACTTAAGGTGGAGAAGTAACATGGTCTTTAACACCTTTCAATATTAAACTCAATGCACATGCTAGCTTAGCATAAAATATTGCTAATGATAGATGACTTGAGCTAATCATTCTTATGCATGGCTTAGGCTGAAACTTAACTTAAAATTATATAATCACCCTCTAATATACATGCATGATCTTGAACTTGAAAGGAAAAAGGGCCACAATGAGCCATGGCTCGACACTAGGCTCGGGTTCGACGCGAGAGAATTGACGATCCGACACGAATCAAAAAATGTCGAACTTAGTAAATGAAATAGTCTAACATACATGGAACATTAAGGCAAATAAGCACATATAACCACATAAGTCACATAATAACACTTAGTCGAACAACTCGGAAAAATTCACAAAATACCGATTTCACTTTAAAGTCGAGCAAGTGAAACCGTTCTGATATTATAACTGATCGGGGCGTTACAATACCACTTTCAGTTCTGCATTGTTTCAGTTTGGTTTCACTACGAGTGATCACGATTTTGCTTTATTTCTTCGGCGCTCCTCCTTCGGGATCATTATTTTGCTACTCTATGTTGACGATATGATCATCACGGGGGATGATATTATCGGTATTTCCGATTTGCAGGATTATCTTTGTCAGCATTTTGAGATGAAGAGTTTGGGCCAGCTTCACTATTTTTTGGGTCTTGAGATCTTTGATTCGTCTGATGGATTCTATTCGTCTCAAGCCAAGTATGCCTCTGATCTTCTTGCTTGGGCTGGTCTCGCTGATTGCCAGACAGCTTCATCACCTCTTGATTATGATGTTCGTCTTACTCCACTTGATGGCTCTCTTCTTGAGGATCCTACATTATATCGTCAGCTTGTTGGGAGTTTGATATACTTGACTGTCACTTGGCCTGATATAGCTCATGCAGTTCATATTGTGAGTCAGTTTATGGCTGCTCCACTAACCACGCATCATTCTGCTGTGTTGCACATCCTTCGCTATGTCAAGGGCACTCTATTGTATGGTTTACACTTCTCGGCCCATTCTTCTTTGACGCTTAGCGGTTATTCTGATGCAGATTGGGCTGGAGATCCTACTGATCGTCGTTCTATTACTGGGTACTGCTTCTTTCTGGGTGATTCACTTGTCTCTTGGCGCAGTAAGAAGTAAACATTGATTTCCAAATCGAGTGCTGAGTCTCAGTATCGTGCTCTTGCTGATTCCACCTCGGAGTTATTATGGCTGCGTCGACTACTTGCTGATCTTGGTGCACCTCAGTCGGCGTCTACTACTTTACATTGTGATAGTCAGAGTGCTATAAAGATGTATCATAATGATACTGATATAGCCACATTGGCTCATAGCGGTTCATACCATCACGGTTCGAGAC